TCGACGGTATTCCTTGCATTTACATGATGTTCACGAAGCTTGTTATATAAACAATCATAGTTACTGTTAACAATTTATAGTTGGGTGCTATTAACACAATAATTCTGGGTTGTAATTCGCTAAACTCCTTGAATGAAGCTTAACATGTAATATGGACTCTGGTCTATCACATCCAGTCCGTATATTTTGTTTTTTGTTGGGACTTTTATGTTAATGAGTTGTTTACCTAATATTTTGTTTTAATTCATAAACCAAAATTTAAAATCAAAGATTATGTAATAGTATGATTTTAAGTATTTCATTGCAAAGCCAAATATAATGAAAAATATTGATAACAGCATTCCATATCGTTATACGACATTGCTGAAAAAAGTCCATACACATCGGGTACAAAAGTAGTACAAAAATTCAAATTATTGCCAGACTAAAAGTGACTGCCTGGGAGATCGGAAAACCACGTGTACTTTATATCATGTACGGAAACAGAACAAGCGGGACGGGACCAAAGACAGGTCGGACCAAGACAACTGGAACCAATATTAATATAAAGACAACTCTGACCAGTTTGAAACATTGGTCTGGTCCATTTAAGGACATTTCAAATTCTAATCAGTTTCAAGGACAACTCGGAAGACTCTTTCATGGCATGTTAAAAATAGCTCTTTAATACGACTCTCAGATAATTCTGTAGACATTTATTTGTGAGATCGTAACGGATATAACAAGACACTGTCAACCAAAAGGTTGTTATGTGTTGTAGAAAGAATTTACCAGGCTTGGTCGTACTCAACCTTATGACACCTTATTTGATTTAAGTTCATTTGATGCATTTTAATAAGCTTGTCTGTTTTTACCATATTTCTGTTACTACTTACTAATTGCCAAACGAAATATGTTAGCCATTATCTCATACACTCATTGAAAATAATAAATTCAGCTTAATTTATTTTAACTGCTGATTAATGTATGAACTGCTTGTTACAAGTGTTTACAAAAGTAACTAAAAGCTGAATATGATCAACGAAACAAAATTACTTTGATGCTTTTACGAAAGTTATCAAGGTCGCTAAATTAGTCTTTATTATATTTATTAGAAAACAGTCGCATATACAACTAAACAACAAATATCTTTACATGCAATAAACTTAAACGCAATAGATGTTCGTGTTTGTGTCTGCCATTTTGCTTTTAAGATGTAGAAAGTGGTTCAAATAGACTTTCAAACTTGCATGCTGTATTTTCAACTGATCAAAGTTGTCTTTAAAACTGGCCCTAGTTGTCTCAATATTGGTCCATGTACAACCCATTAAATAGTGATATATACTTGTGTAAACTTATGATGTTGTCTATTTTTCCTGACTTCAGGCTTAGGTTAATCCCCGGGTTTGGTATCTTCTCCCCCTGTTATACTATTTTTATCTGCTGATATATTAAGCCTGCATGTACTGCATTATTATATACTTAGGATAAGGTTGTTAACTTTTAAACATATTTTTCTTTCAAAATTTGACATTTTTATATTCTAATTCAATATTCTGCTTTTTCATTTTAGAGACGCGTTTGCAAGTGTATTTATGAAAACGAATTGAAGTCACAGTTAGTGAAGATTCCATTATGTATCTTTTGGGATCCAACACAAATGGAAAATGTTAAGGATGTTTATTCGATATCGCGTCGTTCGCTTCCAATCTTTAAATTTGAAACAGGTATGCCAGTTTGCCTTTATTCAGAAATTTCTCGATATGGAATTCAAATTCAGTCGGACAGGTATCGTCGTAAAAAGAGAGGTCTCACCATCAATTACCAGTTGAAAACTTAATTTGCCACAAAAAATAAAAAAAATATCATCACTATAGAATACAATGCTTGTCCCTGAGCACCTGCTTCATGTCATGTTCAGTGAAGTTTTTTTTTTGGTTAATGTTTTTATTTTATTAAATCAAAATACGGACGTGAAATGGTTTCAATGCGCAAAACTCGTATTATTGTTTTTACATATTTCATCATAACCATGATAGCAGTTAACCTTTAGAGAACACTAAACCAAAAGCAGTATTCAAGAGCTCCAAATTAACATTAGCTCAAGTACATAATTGATTTATTTTTTAATTTATCTTTACCGAGGTAGTGAGTACATTTGGAAACTGATAGTCCACCTGCTTTGAGACTTAAAGTGTGAAAAGCAAACAAATAATAATAATAAAAAGATAGTAAAAAATATTACAATGTAAGAAAACGTTCTAAAGAAAAAAACAAAAACGGACCTATACTGTTCGCTTAAACGGTCTGAGGTCAATTTTGCATATCGGATTTGTAAAAGAGAGACGAAAGATACCAAAGGTACATTTAAACTCATAAGTCGAAAATAAACTGACAACGTCGTGGCAAAAAAAGGACCAAAAGACAAGCAACAGTTTAAAAACCACATACCGGTAATTCTATAGACTGGACATTTACACACAGATGAATCAATTCAACCCTGTTAAAACTTATCCACTGGCTACATTAGAAACAGTAGTCTAGGTTGTTGCTAGTCAACCAGCAATGGTACTGACCCAATGGTAGTAAAATACCTGTATATTCGATTTGTGCATTCGAATCATTTGGCACATAAGAGTAAAGATAAAGATAAAGTGTATACCGGCTTTAAAAGATAATAGCTTATCATACACTGTAGTTCTTCAAAGTTATGCAATATTAAGTTTTTTTTTAGAAATATGACATGATACGATGATAATTCATTGCATACATTCTTAGACTTGCGGACTAAGGTTATTCAAAATGGTGATGGAGAACCTGATGAATATCATTGCTTAGCAAAAACAAATGGTACTTTCACGACAAATGACTGCAACTCTGACAAGATGTTTACTTGTGACGGAGGCAGGTATTTTAATTCGAATTTGATTGGACTTTTTTGGACACGCAGTTTAAACATATTAACATACGAGTGCAGTAGCATATTGTTAAGATTTTCGACAAACAACTAGTAGTATAGCGGCCATTCTTCCGTGTAATAGAGAATGTGTTTAAGTTTCCATTTCAAATATTCTGCTTGGTCAGTATTTGTAAAGTTCATGTACTCTTTTTATATATAATAATCCAATCTCAAATCATTCTCAAATCTCATTGCCAAGTGTTTACTTTAAGTATTTAACTTGCTTCTAATTTAAACATGATAATATGTTTGGTGACTATATCTGTTAAATAATTGTTTCTACACACGTCTCGTTATAATTTATATTGATAATGTTTGCTTTTTAAATCAGTAGTATCACAACTCTTAATGATTTCCTGCATTTTCCTGGTATATCTTCTAACTATCGAGAATATGATAGTTTTAAAATGACCTTTTTTTTAATACATTAACAGTGATCTGGAAGGATTTTTTCTCTATGGGCCCAGGGCCCCCCAAAAATAAATTCAATGGGCCATTTTTAGAATTAATGGGCCATGTTGTCAAATGAGTGGGCCATTCGTTTACATTAAAAACAAAAAATAAAAAAAGTGTATATTTCACTGTACTTACAAGTATGATTCTAATTAATATCATGGATATTGTTCCTGTGATTTTGTAATTTCAATTTCAATGAATATACAATAACTTCTTCCAAACCGGGCAATATTTACGATAACCTTTATTTACAATGTTAAAACTGGTACTGTTCCCTTGTTCATGTTGTTCATGTTCATGTTTTTTTTTACATTAAATTTGGGTCTTCGTCGATACCATACTTATTCCAGACGTTCCGTATTAGAGGACGTTTCTGGCATTTCATTTGCACTTGTATTATTATTACTTCATCGCGATGACAAGAATAACAGTAGAGAGAAACGTTAATTGATAAGACACAACAACAATTCGCTGAAGGCATGTTTACAAAATGTCAAAACGAGCCAAAGACCAAAAAAAATGACAAGGACAGTTAAGCCCCTTTTATGGAGACAAATACTATGCTATTCATAAAAAGGCTTTTGGGTTTTTCAATCGAAATAATAGCAAGCTTACTGAAAAGATTATAATTAGAGAAGAATTCTCGCCTGTACTAGCCAATTTTCACAAATTTAAAGTCGTTTATAAAAAAATATATCATGAATGATGGTTAATTACGTTTTTTGGGTAATCAGTCATACCGCATGTTGCTATTATTACCATAGGAAAACACCCGAGACGTCCCAAAAAATATATAGGTGCTCCTATCATTGGAGTAAACACTACACAGTTGTGTACTCACAAATGGCGGCACGAAATACGATCGGAAATCCATTTGACGATATCTCAACGTTTCAAAACGAAGTGAAAAATATCATGCGCCACGCGGGCGCTTACATTTGTCAATCTATGCGCCATTTCTGGTCGATAAGCGCAATTGGCGCAAGGCGCACGTCCTTCCCGATCACTGCATTAAGCCAGCAAGTGTTTACCGGTCTTCAAATATCATAAATCCATTCAGAAAACAATGCAAAGTAACAAACAAAAACTGAAGTAATCGCATCAACTCAAAAAGGAGCAAGACCGGGTACGTCGACTGGATAATCGTCTACTGAATGCATACAATACCCGAACAATCGAGAATCTGCCACAATTGGTAAAATAACAAATCAGATGACTACTAGTATTCTGTTATCCAAGAGAGGCGAAATATCCCACAGGGATATTTAAACTCAAAAGTCAAAAACAAACTGACAATGCCCTGGCAAAAACCGAAACTAGACGACATGACAAACACCAGTACACAAAACACAACATAGAAAACTAAAGACCGCGCAACAAGGATCTAAAACTGCGAAAACATGTCGCTAGTGAGTTCAGACACAGAAACATTGTATAAATAACAATCTACCGGAACTGTAAACATTCAGACTGTTAAGCATTCAACTTTTCAAGTATTTTTATTGAATTATACGGTCTATGTTAATGTACCTAATAATATTTTCTCGTTAACAAACGTTTGATTTACATTACTATAAGTGAGCAAATGTGTTTGCATTGGAAAAAAACCACTATATTGTAGGAGTCTGTGGAAAAGGGACATGGACTTCTGCTATTTACAAATGTATAGTCGAACATGAATCACTTATGAAAAAAGAGAGAAACTATTCTGATTATTGGCTAGGATACTTCAAGTATGAAGAAGGTAAGATAGTTTATAAATCCTTACTGTATACAAAGTCAATAGTATAACTCAACAGAAACTTATTAGTAATTTATGTATCCCATTATCAGTAGGTATTGATCTATCAAAGCAGCTTACTGGTTATACAAAAAATAACGCAATAGCACTATTATAATGCTTAATACATTTCAAACAAAATTTACGGGCTAAATCTGACACAGAAAGAAGTGTTTTAATTATTATTCTTACATTTACTCCAATTCTCCGCATTTTGTTGTGACAATTGAAATAGGTGATATTGAATATAATGGAATAACATTTTTATTTTATTATTAATTAAGACGATATAGTAACAAAAAAGGTATGACCAATTTTCCAGGAATTTTGTTCACACCAGTGTAATTTTTAAAATGTCCTTCAATCCTAACTAAATTCACATGGGTGTATTTAAAGGTTTTAACAATTGTAAGACTTACTTCTAGACAGATAACATAATTATGACACTAGAAAATAGTCAAAATCGCAATGATGACAGATGTTGACAGACTTTGAGTATTTATTCGAAAGTAAATATAAGAATGATGTCGAATAACAAAGTTAAATAATGTTGGAATTAAATATGTGTTGTCTCTTGTAAACAAACTAATTCACATAGTAAGTGACACCTTTCGATGCAAAATATGTAAAAAAACAAAAAACAAAAAACAAACAAGACTAGTAAAACTTCAGCATCAACATGTAGCTCTACACAGCATTTTTATTTTAATTATTTCCTCATATGTATGATATCATAGAGACAGTGTCCAGATTATATCATCCATTTGATTTGTCAATGAAATTAGCAAATCTTAAAAAGGCTAAATTATAGTATGCTAGCAATTATGGCCAGACACTGCCGTTTATCCTTCCTCCTTCGTTTTGTTTAGTTATACAACTAAATAAGAACCATAAATGAACAGTTATCGTATTTTCGTAAATCACTTACTTTCTGTGTATGAAAGTGCATATGGTTGATGATTCGAGTCAATTTCTGTTGACTAAAAATAGAAATCTGCTATTTATCCAACTGATTCAAAGCCTCATTAACATGATTAGGTTAACTGGCATCTTTTGCTTATCAGAGCATTCAACAGGTTGAAGCAGATGTACGCATGTCGGCTGTTGCATCTATAGCAGGAGACGCTTACCCTGTCAATGCACCTTTATTTATCTCTGCTTGGTCAATAGCAATTCAATGATAATTGTCCTTTTTTTGTAACAAATTACCTGAAACTGGATGGCAATTTGTTGAATTTTTGTTTCAAAATTTCAGTCGTTTTACATTTTATATATTGCCTGTCAAGGTTAGGCATTTACTAAATTGCCTGAAAATTGAGGTCTTTTACAAAATGCCTTAATCTAGAAAATGCCTGTAACATATACAATAATATACAAACACTTTTTTTCCGACAAAAATCGTTATTTTTCAAATTCTTTTTCTGAAACGAACATGAAGTCTAGTTTTACAAAGACGATAACGGGGACTTGCGGAATTTTTATTTTTTTACACCGCAATTGAATAAAATTCATAACAGCATTGATGTAGACATCTGTTATCTGAAGTTATCGTGTGTGTCACTGGCTGTCGACAAAAAAAGATTTCACGCAATTATAGTATATCAAGGACCTCTCAATGGAGATGTACACGATTACTATATTTTTACACATTTCCACTCATAAAATAAACGTTTTTACATATATGTTTAAAGGAATTTGTTTTAATTTTTATTGATATTATCACATAATTAGTATATCCAGAGATGAAATGATCAAGGTATAAAGAAAACACACGTCGTGAGTCCTTTTTTGTAATCTTTTCCCAACTTAAGTTATTTATACTTCCTGGAATCAATAGGACTGAATAACTCTCTGGTCCAGTCTTTTTTATGCGTAAGTACTTATGAAGTTCGTGCGTTTAAAAGACAAATTCAATTCTTAAGGTATTTGAAATTTTATATTATAACATTTATTTGTTCTATCTACGACTATGACATGTATGATGTATTAATGATTTTTTTCACATTTAGAAAAAGCAAATGAACAGTGTGTTGCGATCTTAAGGACCGATATTTCTCGATCACTGACCTTCGAGTACAGATCTTGTTCGGATCACTTGCCTGTTTTATGCTTTGATGAAAGCTACCCAAGTAAGTGTATACATTCTATTTTTTTTTTTTGGATAACAATGGTACTGAAACTCTTATTAAATCAAGGTAAAGATCTATGACGTAGTTAGTATTGTTTGTTTAAACCACCATTTTCTTCGGGAAATGCCTGTTCCAAGTCAGGAATATGGCAGTTGTTTTTAACTTGTTCCGTTGTTTGATAGCGTTTGATTTTGTCTTTTTTGTGGACTTCCCCTTTTTGAATTTAAATTTGCCTTTGAGTTCAGATTTTTTTTCTACTTCTTTGCCTACTTTTAATCATATTTTCACTGAAATGTAATTTATTTAAAGTTTGATTTTATTCTTTGGCACAAAGAAGTGAGTATTTTGCAAAATGATGCAGTATAACAAAACGATAAGTTCAAGAGTTACATTTGTAAATGTTTTCAGAAACGTGCTTTAATTAACAGACGCCAAGATACACCTTAAAATCTTAGTGATATTCTTTTGTAAATCTATATTGCTTTACAATAAACAAGAGGATGACAATTTGTCAGCTTCTACTCTAACTCCTGTGGCTTTCTTTGATATTTTTTCATGTTTATCCTTTCCATTTTCATTACAGGTACCCGGTATTGTACAATAATAACCAACAAGCGACTGTCAAAATGACAACAAACCGTGTTGTATTACATATGAAGCAATGAGTTTTTTTTGTGTCATTTTAAGACAATGACAAGTCCTCAACGACAAAAGTGAAATATAATCAATATCGAAATTGACCTCTTTATTGCCACCAGTAGCAACATATCAAATTTTAAAAGCATAGACAATACATTTTAAAACTTATGGCATGGAAACTACTTAAAAAGTAATTTTTGCAATCAATCAAAGGCAATTGCTGAGAGGGAAATAGCTCAGGATCGGCAAATGTATTGTTGTAACAACAATCCCGTCCTATTTTCCTCGCGATTTTGATATCACTTAATGTATACTTACTATGAGAAAAAAACGACGTTGCTACTTGTAGAGCAGGTCTGCTTACCATTCCTAAGAACCTGCTATCACTCTTTTTTTGGCGGAGTTCGTGTTGTGCAGCCTTTAGTTTTCTAAAAAATGTGTTGTGAACTTGTCTATCTTTTCGTCGACTAGCGGTTTGTTTACCATGGCGTTGTTAGTTTGTCACGACTTGTGAGTTTTGATTGTTGCTTTATTATCTTCCGTCACTTTCTTTACATTTAAAAATTTGAAAAGCATTGGTTGAACAGTTCTCAACTTATTTAACGGATACAAGATCAACAGCCATTTTTAAATCAACTTCTTTGTAAACGAAAAAACCCGTTAAATACAGGACGATTATTGGAATTGAAATGAACTATACGTATAAACATAGTTAAAACATCCGTACCATTTATAATAAGTTATTTTTTTTTTATAATATATAAGTCATCTTAAATCATTTCACAACTGACAGTCTCTCATTGTTCAGCCTTCAAGGTTTAAAAATTGTTCCCATGTTTCATCTTGATTCTATAATGATTTATCAACATCTTTTAGATTTAATTTCATACACAGTACATATAAAAAAGAAGATGTGATATGATTGCCAATGAATCAACTCTCGACCAGAGACAAAATGACGTAGGAGAAAGCAACTGTATGCTAGAAAATGGCCTTCAAAAATGAGTAAAACGCATAACGCATAGCAAGCTATAAAAGGTCTCGAAATGACAAATGTTTATGATTAAAACGAGAAAACTAACGGCCAGAGGTATGTACAAAACAAAATAAACCAAAACAAATATGATATAAAGCAACAAACGACAACTGATGTATTAAAGGCTCCTGACTTTGGACAGGCACACACAGAATGTGACAGGGTTAAACATTTTTGCGAGCGTCCAACCCAACCCTAACATGGAGTAGTGGTGTAACAGGAAAACATAAGAACAAACCATAAAAACCAGTTTAAAAGGGCTTATCGTCAGATCGATACAAATCACACAAAAACAAAACTATTAAAAACACAAAAGACACAAAATACAGATCTAGAGTTATCGCAGTTACCGAAAGCTAGTTCATGCCAATGACAACTAATAATCGAATTATGTATCAAAGGCTAAATCAATGCTTTAAATATCTGTTTTATGATTCACAAAAACAATTATTTAGATAGAAGTGTTATGACCGTTTTGTGACCTCTAGTTGAACAAATCTACAGCATTTTGGTCTCTGGTGGATAACTGTATCAATGGCAATCGTATTACATCTACTTATCTTTTATAATATAGCATTAAAATAATATGATGTTACTTGAAAAGATTATAACTCCTGACGTTAACAATTAGTGTAGCATTAGTCAGTGTCTTTGTGTTGCACAAAAGCCGTGTTATATATTTGAGACATTTCTATAACATATGCGTGTTACAACCGTACAACATACTTGCTTTGTATTGTTTTTAAATCAAAGTCCATAATGAAGAACTGCTTACGTAAATATATTATGAAATAACAATAAACATTAGAATTTGTATTTTCATTTATTGTATAAATAAAAAAAATGGTTATAAAGTTTCGGATTTTTTGATCGACAAGTTAACAGTTTTTAATATTAAAGTTCTAAGAAAAGATAACGAGTATCTCAATTTTAACCTCATTTCTTGGAATAAAACGGGTGGTAAAATTGCTTATTTCATTATAACCCATGATATATTTTTCAATCTTAAACATAGCTAAAAATCATAAAATGAAAAAAACTCAGGAAACTGCGTCGAATCCCCAAAAATTGAAATACATTGTTTAAAATTATGCCAGACTTTGTTAACTTTATGGACTGTTGTTTTATATTTGTAGGTAATATCATCACCCCAGTACTTAGGAATCGGGGAAGTGAGTTTTCTGAATCCTCAACAAAATCAAACTTCCAGAGAACAACGAGGCCTACTTTAGCAAACATTTCTGATGTAAAAAGACCTGGTATAAAAAATTATACATTTGTTATGAAAGTAGAAACAATATGCAAAATACTGGACGCAACAATTAACTGAAAATATGGTCCTACAACAAGTCAACGGGAAAAAGAAATCGAGGAAACACGTAATCTATTGAAAGGACCTAAGCTTGGCTTGAAACATTAACAAAACATTGTTTAGTATTTATTTTCTATCAATTAATAAAATGGTTTAATATTAAAATGAGACAGTGACAGTTACTGTTACAATTTGTAAATGAACAATCCGTTATAGGAAAAGTTCTAGAAATTCATACATGATGGATTTACAAAACTCAGATGTCAGCTCTTTATGCCTAGTTTTGCATATTGTGAATGTTCATTTTACCTATGACTAGCTACAGTATAAAGCAAGTTGCTGTTAAGCCCTGTTGTTGTTTACCAATAAAAAACTGGATAGTAGCAAAAATTCAGAAATAAATTTGAGTATACAAATATATGCGTTAGATACTTACATTTTAAAATAAGAATACTACTAGCATATGAAAAGTACATGTCAATACATATATATTTCATCTAGTTGTAGGAGAAATAGTCGTTGTTAATGTTGTTCTGTTCGGATTGTGCAGCCTTTTTGCCGTTCTGATCATTTTCAGGTAAGAATATGTATTTATGAGTAATAATGAAAGCAAATAAATACTCCTTTTTGTTAAGAAAAAAAAACATAGCTACTAACAGAAACAAAAGAATGAAGATACCAAGGGGACATTCAAAACTCGAGTCGAAGAGAAAGTGACAACGCCTTGACAAAAACAAAAGATAACGAAAAGTACACAAAACAATTATATGAAAAAGTAAAGGCCGCGCAAAATGATCCCCAACTGAAGACGCTTAGTTTTATTATAGAGTATTCATGTTCACAAATGTAACAATATATGTCTAGTTTGAAGAGAGTATATATATATTATATACCATCTAAATAAAAGGATAAATGACACTAAAGAATTGTTACGTACATAATGAAATATACTGGTGTTTGTACACTTACTGTCATGTTTGTTATAATGCCCATAGTGAGTCCTAAATTGTTTGATATATACATTTTTTGTACCTTGTATTGTATTTTGTTGTACATCATATAACACTAAAACACATGTTTGAAATAAACAGGAAAAATGGTTAAAATATAAGTAAAGTTATGTTCCTAAAACGTTTTTTTTTTTTCATAACATTTTGATTTAAGCGCTATAATAAGATGCAGACAAATAAACAGCACATTGAAAGCAAAGATAGACCAGCAACAATACCATATATTCAGCGAGTAGCTCTACATCAACCCGAGTATTTAAAATAGGGATTAATGTATCAGAATTATTCAAACAACACAAACAATTTTAAAGGGCGAAAACGTAAACAAAACTTTACATTTAGATATGAGTTATACAACCTTTTAGCTCAACTTAGCCCATAGGGCCAAGTGAGCTTTTCTCATCACTTGGCGGTCGTCGACCGTAGTCGTTAACTTTTACTAAAATATTCTCCTCTGAAACTATTGGGCGAAATTTAACCACACTTGGCCACAATCATCAATAGAGTATCTAGTTTTTGAAATGTGTCCGATGACTCCGCCGGTCAACCAACATGGCCGACATGGCTAAAAATAGAACATAGGGATAAGATGCAAGTATTGTCTATTATCTTGAAAACCACTAAGAATAAAGAAAATCCTACGAAGTAGAAATGTTCAAAATGATGAGCTCTACATATTGTCAATGTACATTAAAACTGTCAGACAACTTCTTATAGGATTAAATGACGAATTTCATCGAAAGATGTATTTCCCCTTTTATCATGAATATTATAATAGATAGAGAGAAACTTTAAATGACAAAAGTATTCAAAATAATAAGATCTTCAAATAAAACTCATTGTAAAATTCGTCAGACGACTTCTTATTGGAGTTATCGCCCTTTAATGACAATTTTTGCATTTTTTGTGCGTTTTTGTCTTATACATGTGTTATATCTGAAAAACTATAATAGATGGATATAAACTTACTGTGTTTATCCTGAAGGCCGTGGCCTTTCTCAATAGCAATTGCTCAAATAGTTTATCAAATTGCATTTTGAAATTATTTCCACCAACTGATCAACTGGTGAAATATTTTAACAAATTGGTTCAGTGAAAGTTTGGTAGTTTGAAGTGAGTGCAGTGAAATAAAAAGTAATACTTACCATCCAACTTCTGTTAGTTAATGGCTATGTCATGACATTCAAACAAAATAATGACATACTTTAATATGAGTCACTGGTTTAAAAGGGTCTAACTTTGGCATGAAAACTTTTATCCTAAATAAATTTTATGAATAATTAGTTCAAAACATTGTCTTGTAGGTCAATAATTTATAGCTTTGTTTTCTAACAGCAAGCTAGTGCGTAATTGTAATTTTGATATTTTTTTTCAAAAGCAATTACCAATCTGCTAATATTAAAGGGAAATAGTTTAAATGATAAACAGCAAAATTTTGTTTTGTCAACTATCAATTTCCTTCATTTTATAAGTAATGTTTTTGTAACATTATTTCCATGATCATTAAACTATTATCCACTGTTCTGAAAAGAACACTGACATTCATTTTTAAGATGATTACAATTTTGAAAAAAAAACCCGTTAAAAACATATAATGGGACACATTCAAAGTTGTATAAATCATATAGATTCCTCTGTAAATTTAGAGGGTATCATCAACACAGTAGTCAGCAATTCTGTGTTGACATGAATTGTCATTGATATGGTCAAAATTATAAATTTTTTGCAAAAAGTTGAATTGTTCAAATTACTAATGATTTTCTACCACGGAGTATTAGATTACTTATAAGCAGTATTTGGCAAAACCTTTCGGAATTTTGTTTCCTCACTGCTCATGAACTTCGTACTAATTTGGCATTTCAAAATGTTTGATTCGAGTCGTACTGACGAATCTTTTGTAGGCAAAATCATAAGCCTGGTATCTTTGATTCAATTTTTGATATACAATGACTGAATAAAATCATTTCCCTTTCATGCCAGCAGATCAGTAATTCTTATAGAAAATATCATCCAAATCACACTTACACAATAACTTTCTCTTAGATAACAAAACTATAAATTATTGATCTTCAAATCAATGTTTTGAACTAATTATTTATAAAATTTATTTAGGATAGAAGTTTTCATGTCAAAGTTAGACCTTTTTAAACCAGTGACTCATATTACAGTAAGACACTAATTTGTTTGAATTTCTTGACATAGACAATAACTAACTGTAGTTGGATGGTAAATATTACTTTTTATTTCACTGCACTCACTTCATACTACCAACCCTTCACTGAAGCAATTTGTTAAAATATTTCACCAGTTGATCAGTTGTTGGAGAAAAATTCAAACTGCAATTTGGTAAACTATTTGAGCAATTGCTATTCTGATAGGCCAAATCCTACTGAGTAAGCACAGTAAATAAGCAAAAATGATCAGCAAAGCAAGATCTACTAATGAATCTACTGGCCGAAATCGTCATTCACTCCTTATCCTTATCGGAGTTTTTGCTTTTTAATAACAAATTTTTACCCACATTAAGTGTTCTGCCTCTTAGTTTGAAAAATATTTGCTATTAGACGTGTCCAACATTCATGTATTTAGTTATGATTTTTCGTTTGTAATTCTTGTTGGATATTGCGTTATGTCTTATCGTTTGTGATCATTTGTGGTTTGAATTCTATTTTTATTTTCAACATGTATGTAAACGTTAAGATAATTAATCAGCTAGTTCTTTTATGATTTTTAGTTTAAAGCTACTATATGCACAGGATTTATTTGTTTTTGCAATTTTGATTAAGAAGAAAACCCGGTTAGAAAATACAAATAATTACACCATTACTAGCACAATTCTATATTAATATTCTTGTAATGGTTAGAAAATACATAAAATAACACCATTACAAACTTTATCCCAATTTTATATTCTTTTTTTAAGAAATTTACTTGTGACGTCACTTTTTGTGGCGTTGATACATTCGTGTGACGGACAGTGCATAATTCTATTGTGATGTAAATGGAAGGTGTACGTTGTTATTCTGTGATTTACATGTTGTTTTGTACTATTATCTTATTTATTTATGTATGTCTCTCTCCTGAGTGTTCTTGCGTTTAGTTGTAAAGTATTCCTGTCACGTAATGTTGTCATTTTTGCGGTATTTTTAACATTGCCATATAAGCGGGAGGTTTGGCTAGCCATAAAACCAGGTTCAACCCACCATTTTTTCTTAAGATATCCTGTACCAAGTATGGCAGTTGTTATCAAATAGTTAGTTTCTATGTATGTTGGCTTTTGTTTTTGTAGCAGTTCAGTGTTTATATTGTTCCGTTGTTTTCCTCTTATAGTTGATGTGTTTCCCTCGGTTTTGTTATGTGACCAGGATTTGTTTTAGTTAAATCGATTTATGACTATTGAACAGCGGTATACTACTATTGCCTTTATTTGTAGATAGACAGCCACTTTAAACGCAAAAATTATCAGAAAGACAAGATCTTCAAATAAGTCAACATATTGAAGTTCCAGCTCTTTAATGACGATTTTTTTAATATTTTGGGTTTTACCTTTAATCTTGAAAACTATAGATAGACACTTTAAATAGCGAAAAAAGATCAGCAAGACAAGATCTATAAATAAGTCAAAAATTGTCTAAATCGTTAGTAGACTTTTTAAAGGAAGGATTGGCCATTAATGACAATGGTTTTACCTTATTCATCCTTCTTGTGTTTTGGGAAAACAGTGAAGAAGATAGAGAGAAACTGTATATATAAAAAAAAAAATCAGCAATACAATATTAAGAAAAAAAAACACAATGTTGCAGAGTGTCCATTGTTGAAGATGCACACATACCTAAGTGAGCGACACAGTTTCTTTGGAACCTCTCGTTATATCATGCCACTATATTTTATAAACACAAAGAATTGCCTGTATGTTTAACGTTGTCAATGCTACATTAAACAAAGCACACACAAAAATAGACAATTCATCTTTATTTATCTAATTTCAGAAAGCGCTTAGCTTTACAAGTGTGTCAAACAGCCAACCAGAAATTAAGAAGGAATAACATCAACACAAAACCGGTGGTACAAACAGATGGAACTAGTGAAAAGAATAAGGGAATACGTCAACATGAAAACAATACGGATCATGATAACTATGTTGAGCCTTGGGAACTGCGTCAGAATATCGTTCATATGGGTGAACTTTACCAGCAGGATATCATAAATTTGCAAACCGAGGAAACGGAAACTTGAACTGTACATATGTATACATGTATATAATATATAGATGAAAACAATTATATTTTATTATTATATTTATCATTATTATTATTATTATTATTATTATTATTATTATTATTATTTATTTATATTAATATAATAATTATTATTATTATTATAATCTTTACTATTAAATTAATTTGTTTTTGCTAAATTCAACAACCAAAATAACAAAGTACACTTCCTTTTATTTAGACTGCTCCTTCTGATCAATCATGTTTGTATCAAGTATGATATCAAACAGCATCGAATAACACTGGTATCTGGGAAAACCATCAAGAGGTAAAATTGAAATGGAAAGTTTTTAATGACAAGAACATAAAACGTCTGTGGCTATATAACCCTTTATTATACACCTAAATCCAGTTAAGTTAATCTTATTCTGATGACATTGCAACCTTACTTGTAGTGCATGTAAAATCATATACTTAGTTACTTCAATAAATATTTAGGTACTCATTATATAAATGTATTATTACTTATCTAGAATACCGAAGTACATGGGTCTGTGCATATGCTTGCATTTTGGGTGTTGTGAAGTACAACAAAGGCCCTCAAATAATATAGATGAAGTTATGAACATCTAGTCAGGTGAATAATTTCTGTTCCGTTTTCAAAGTCATTATCAAAAATTAAGAAATTCGGTTTACATTTACCCTGTACTTGTACTGTCAAACTTGTCATATATAAGATATATTAAAAATAAAAACTTCAAAGCCTGTAATATCATCATTCAAGATTGTTGTTGTGCTATTACTTTGACCAACACATTTTTACTGAAAAATTCATGTACCAAGTCAAGGATATATCAGTTGTTATCAAGCAGTTCTTTTCTATGTATGTTAGCATTTGTTTTTATTCGACTGCAGTGTTTCTGTTGTTCCATTGTTTTCCTCTTATAGTTGATGTGTTTCACTCGGTTTTAGTTTGTAACCTGCATTTGTTTTCGCTTAATCGATTTATGACTATTAAACATCGGTATACTACTGATGCCTTTATAGTCACAAGGATCTAACTGTTTTTCTTCAAACATTATAATGGTTTTGAATATATTCTTTGTGGACTGGTCTATGTCTGTTAAACTAAAATGTAAAATGAACGATCAATGGTTTAATGTTAATGAGCCACAACAGCAATAAATTTTCCTGTAAAAATTTCAACCACATTTATCATTTTAATGTTTCTATAAAGTCGGGATTATGGAGAATATTCATCTTTCAACAAAGGAGATCAATTTATTCAAGAAATGCAACCTTATTGCGTACACAATATTGCATATAGAGGTATATGTACTATTTTTTTTAGTGTAAGGGACAGCATTGTATTATTATTTCACTGACATTTAAAATTTGTACCTTTTGGAATATCGACTAAACTGTTTTCCATAATTCTATTTTTTCAAGCTGAAATCACTATAACTACTTACTTCATAAAAAGCAATTCCGGAAAAACAGACTTGTTCAATTATTATGGATAGTTTAGTTACAGGCTTGTCACTGTCGTTTATTATAAACATTCTTAAACCAATGTTGTAATATATCCAAAATATGTAGATTAATTAACAAAAGGAATTGGAATTTACATCAAATCTTGAAATTTCACTTATACGCATGTACGACGTACTAATTGCATATCGGGTATCACATTTTATACAATTCATCATTCATGAAAGAGGAGATTTGAGAAAACCAAAAATCTACTCTTCTGTTTTTAAAAACGGACGACGAAAATATCCGTTCTTTCTTTTGTACTTAACCTACACATACATCCTTATGAAGATCGAAATGTAGTAAACGCGTCCAGATGAGCTGAATATTTTTTCTAAGATTCATTCTACCATTCTTTCTACAGTAAAGAGATGCCTTTCATAACTTTTGTAATAATTTGCGAATAACCAGCTGTGTCAATCGCATGTTGATTCTTAGAAATTCTAAATATGTATCTATAGGTTGCTATTTGTAAAAACAGCTGTTTCACAAACCACGCCTCTTTTTGATAGATCTAAAATATTTTGTTTTGTTTATCTACTGGTTCCAAGATATGATCTTTATGTTTTATATCGTAAAGACAAAACAATGTTACCAGCATAGATACACATGGATAGCGGTGAAATTGAATTCCGAGGAAGACCCAAAGTGAAGGGAGGTGTAGTACAGCATTTTAGTATAAGTTTAAACTCCCAGAAGTTCAGGGCAAATAAATGTTGAAAAATAAAGATATTGTTTTTATTATATTTGCTGAAATAATATTTAAGAAAGTATTTCCAAATTAGCAATGTATCTCCCTCGGACATTATTTCTTGTTACTCTAATCAACTTTTAAACGTTTGTATTAAGTTTTGGATTTTGAGATATATTTAATTAATCAGCGTTTTTTTTTCTCCAAAATGTGAATCTTTGATATACATTTTTTGTTAAAAGTTGTGAAAATTCAAGCATAATAATGAACCAAACTGATTCAAAATAACAAAGCCATCAAAGACTTTATTATTAAAAAGTTTGTTATTTGGATTTTCAACAACTTTGTCGAGTTTAATTAAATCATCTTTCAAACAGTCGGTATTGAAAATGTAGGAATTGTGCACCATACTAGCAAACTTATTTATGAAACTTTTTAATTGTATTTTACAAAACCTTTCTGATTTTTAGTCTTCAATGCTCTTCAATATCGTACTTTATTGGACTTTTAACTTTTTTAATTCGGGCGTTATTTATGAGTGTTTCTTAAAGGAAACGCGCATTTTGTGTAGAAATTATAAGCCTGATATCTTTGATAAGTTTTCTTACATCTTACAATTGACACATATGGACGATATCGAACAGGAATCAAAGACACACGTGATAATTTTAGCTTTCCGATTGTCACAAACCCTTTGTATAGCAGATAAATACTTTCTCCTCCTTTGCATCTCAAATGATACGTTACGTCATGTTACGAAGTTTATTTAGTGTTATTATCGATATCTTATGCTTCGGTAAATAAATTATCAACAACAACAACGTTCATTGGCAATTTTTCTTCTAAGATACGGTCACAAAGGCAAGTGGTTTAATTATTTAGCAGTAAACTCAACCTTTTTAACTCGATCAGCGGAAGTCAATGAACAAAGGTGAAAATCAATGAAGAAAAATAAGAACTAAATTTGATTATACCAGCATGATTGAAAACCAAATAAATACAATTAGAACAAAATGTACCAAATAACTAATAGCAAACTTGTGGAACTTGCCAATATTTAAATCATGTCGTCTTAAACTCTAATATTGGCTGCTGTACTGGAAGCCAATTTTCAGTGTCAGTGTTTCGCTGTAAAAGCTAATATAGAATGCAGTTGTATCTGAATATTTTAAACAAGCTTGTTTCTTTAGTTGTTTATTGATACGTCTCAATTTAGATCATTACCACGACAAGTTCATGGAAACATATAAAATTTTAACTTTCACCTAATTTCACAGTATTGGAAGTCAATTTCCAACTTTGATTAGTTCTGATTGGTAATATGGTCATCCTGTTTATCTAAAAGAAATAAATCGATAATCTCCAAAAAAAAAATGTAGTCAGTACAATTTGATCTATCGAATACAAGGATGTGTATGTCATTTAAACACTACATACAATAAACTCAATTTCCCTAGCATAGTATACGGTCTCCACCAATACTATAAACAAGTGATTTAGTCAAAGCTCAAGCCATAAATGACCCAATGATATATTCAAGTTATATTATTTTTTAATCCAACATGTTTCTAAATATTTATTGTCCGTAAATATTTGATTGAGATGAGAACAATCTCTTGACATAATCATAATTCAAAAGTTGACGATTAAGTACTTCCATATTGTGTTCCTGGTACAAGTATTTCACAAACGGAACATAAAAACTAATTACTATTGGATCGAATGTGCCAAATCACAAGTATCATTTAAATAAATTATCTTAAATGATAAAATTGAAAAAAAGTATATATATCCTCTATTCTTCTCCAGGAAATAAACTGGATTCTGATAATTTCCTTGATGATTGTAGACATGTTGCGTTTAGTATTAACATTGATTTTACTTTTAAAAACTTATCTCGGGACAGCAAATTATGTGTTACATACATCTCAAGGTATGCATATTTTATATTATTATATATACGCATTATATTAATATTCAATACTTCAATCTTTGTTTTTATATAAGTATTTAGGTTTATTGAGAAGAAATAATTAGTTGTGTCTTCTCTTAAAGGTGCACTGAATTTTCAAGTGATATTTATATCCTGCTGGTCCGAGGACACAGTTATCGTCCTTAGATTTTCGTTGTCTACAATTATAGTTCCTAGTGTGGACAGTGTATAACTTGCAAATTTTTTTCATACACTTTTCAAATTTTAAGCATGAAGTATTAAGTAAGGGGATGAAATTACATGTTAAAAAAATTTGGTTGCTGAATCTTTATGTTAAGTAGTGATTTGGTCCAGTTAAAAAAGGTCAAAAACTAGTTTGTCTGAAGCTGTCAAACTGAATTTTAGACCCCCTTAACATAGAATTGTCAATATTTTGAGTTAGAATTGGTAGATAAATAAAGGCAACAGTAGTATACCGCTGTTCGAATTTTCTATAATTTTTCTATAATTTGTCCCAATAGTAGTACACTACACTGTGAACATCTTTTTGAGATAGAGCAGATGCGATTGTTTTATTTTGACTTTTTTGTCTAAAAGAAATGCACTACGAAATAACTGTGTTCTCGGGCCTGCTTCACTGACGCTCTCTACAGAAATTGATAATAATTATTACGACAACCTTTTTTCAAGATTACTTACATATGCCGACATTGCATAGAAACCCATTAATCTTTATGTTAATTTTGTCGATGGATTTCTATCTCGTTAAGGTATAAAAAACATGTCCATTTATTCATACAAAACAAACAAAGTTAAATTGAATTTACACTTAATGTGCTTTTGGAACATTTGAGATCACCATCAACGTAATTTGTGGTCCATGTTGCTCAGACTTTAGTTTTCTTTTTAGTGATTTCTGGACTGATTGTCTTTTCGTCTTTTTTCATTTTTTGCCAGTGCGATGTCAGTTTATCTTCGACGTATCAGTGTTGAATGTCTCCTTGGTATCTTTCTTTTTTTGACATGAACATATCTTTTTTACAATTTTTACGTAAAATAAATAAACACGTACTACGATAATCATAAAAGTTATAATACTTGATACTATGTGTGGTAATTAATTACAAAACTAAACGAGACTTACCGTGGTAAAAGTTGAAGTTCAGTTGGAATTTAACTTTTACCAAGGTAAGTCTCGTTTAGTTTTGGAATTTAACTACGTCATCCCGTTTTCGGGACCAGATGAGACTTCAAAGAGCACAAGCCCTGAGATAAGTCAAAAATTATATTAAAAAACCTCAAAAAAAAATATCCCTCCTATATACAAAGTTAATTTTACAAATAAAGTTCTATGTACTCAGAACAGCTCTCTGAAAACGTTGTTCATCTGACTCGATCGGCTTCTTATACAATTAGCAAAAGTCACTGGTCCAACCAGCTCTTTGTAAAATACATTCCTCAGGAATCAGGTTATGGAAAGCCTTAGAAACAACAGCTGACCTCGTGCTATGTGAAGAATACGATTTAAAATTTATTCCTGATTTGGACATAACAGTTTTGACCCATCTGCTAATTGTTTCTCTTAAAACTGGTTTAAACGGTTTCACATAACTTATAAAAAGCTTCTGACTATTACCGCGAGTTTTAGCTGTTCCCATCAAATATTCTTTTAAAACAGTAAAAACACACAATCTCCTATCTGGAGGATAAGCAAAAAGTTCAACAAAATGTACATTAAACCCAGGTCTATTCTGTTTCAATAAACCTGAATAAAACAAGGTATAACTATCCTTTCCTTTTACTAAATTGTCTAAACATAGCAAAAATAACGACTGTGTCCTACAAGCCGTGGATAAAACAGTTAACATTACTAACTTCAATGTTAAATCTTTCAACGAAATATATTTTACGGGAGATAACTTCCGTAAAAAATTAAAAACTTTAGATACTTCCCAAGTTTCACTATATCTAGGTTCTGAAGGTCGCAAATTATATACACCTATCAAAAATCTGATGATTAGAGCCAACTGTCACTCCATTAAAAATTATTCCTAAGGCTGACAAAGCAGATCTTGCACAATTTATCGTACTATAACGTAATCCTTTATCAAAAAGCACTGTTAAAAAATCTAAGACTTCATTTAAAGCTGGTTGAAGTGTATCAAGAAACTTTAACTGATTGTGAAGAGGATGAATCTTTTCCGTTCCTGGAATGGACAGCAGTCTTTTCTTTCGAGGCAACATTTTTGGAAAATCTATCAACATTTCTAGTAGTACTGGGTACCATGTCTGCGTCGGCCATAATAGTACAATCATCAGAACCTCTGCACTGTCTTTCTGAACTTTCTGTAGACATCTACTAATTAGAGAAAAAGGGGGAAAAAGATAATAAAATACCTCATCAGACCATAAAATACTAAAAGCATTTACAAATACTGCCTCAGGGTCAGGTTTCCAATACGAGAAACTCTCAACTTAACAATTTATTCTAGAGGCAAATAAATCATGGCCTGGACTACCCCAAATGTCTACTAATTTATGGAAAACTTGTTTATCAAGCATCCACTCTAAATGATCATCAATTTTTCTTGATTCAACATCTGCAGCATTATATTTACCAGGAATATGTTCTACTGAAATCCATATATTTCTTTCAATACACCAGACCCACAAAAGTTTGGTTATTTCATTCATTTGCATGGATTTTATACCACCCATATTGTTGACATATGCAATTGCACTAGAATTGTCACAAAAAATCTTCACATGTATATCTGAATAATTTTTACAAAACGCCTTCAGAGTATAAGAAATGGCTAACAATGCCAGAACATTTATGTGATAAGTTTGCTCAACATCATTCCATCTTCCTTGAATTTTTTGGTCTTTAAATAAAGCACCCCAGCCTTTTAATGAGGCGTCAGTTGTCATAGATTTTTCCTATTAATGACTCTTTTCTGACAATGTAAGTTTTCAACCCACCATTTTAAATCTGCTTTCATGGCAGATGTTATAGTCATATTTTGATCAAAATTTCCAAATGACAATTTTAAAGCCTGAATCTTTTTAATTTCTAAATTTCTGTAACATAAATGTCCAAAATCCACAGCTGAAAGAGTGGATATTAACAAGCCTATAACATGGGCAACTAATCTTATACTAGCTGTATTATTCTTGATCAGATTCTGACATTCTAATATAATTTGTTCTACTTTTTCTTTTGGCAACACAACTGTCATAGATACAGAATCAATAACACTGCCTGAAAAAAACAATTTGTTTGGCAGGCTTGAAAACAGATTTTCTTTCATGAATGATAAAACCAAGCCACTCCATTAAATCATTAGTATTTTGTACATTTTTTATGCACTCATCTTCAGTATCTCCAAGCAAAAGAGAGTCATAAATATAAGCTACATTCATATAACCAAATTACCGTAAAGTTGCCATAACAGGCTTCATTAACTTTGTAAAGATTCTAGGTGCTGATAGCAAACCATCTAGTGAACAAATATATTGAAAAATATTGTTTTTCATGTAAAACGTAAAAGTTTCTGATGTTCCTCTGCTATAGGAACAGAATAATATGCATGACGCAAATCAATTGAACTGAAAAAACAATTTGGTTTCACCAATTTTAAAGCCATTTCAAAAGTACCCTTTAAATGATGGGGAATAATAAAGGACCAGTAAAGGCCGATTTTGGCCTCAAAATTCAGGTTCATCTGATGAAAGATTTTGGACATTTTTTAAACACTTAAGTGTCTACTTCAGTCGATTCAATTAGTTTATGTGAAAGATTTGAACTGATTTAGTCATTAAAGACGCTCAAATTCAAGCTTAAATATGAAAACTCTATCAAATATACCATGATATGTCACTTTTCAGACGGTTTTTTCAAAAATGAAAATGGCCGCATCCGTGTTCATTCTCAACCTTTATATATGTTATGTATTATCATCAAATACAACTTACATTTAAATATTAAGAATGAACACAAATGCGGCCACTTCCATTTCAGACGGAAACCGTCTAAAAATTTACCAAAATGCTAAAATTTCGAAGATTTCAGTAATTTAGCATGACTTAATGATGCTAGTACCCGATACATGAGCATTGTATTGTAAAAAAAAGCCCATATTTATGTGACAGAAGTATTCTTCTTTCTAATAAATAGTTAAAATAAACATTTTAACAATTTTGTAAAACTGCTATATTTTGGGGCCAAAAATGGGTCTTACTGGGCCTACTCCTTTAATCAACTCTTTTAAATTATGAATCACTCTATGCTCATTTGTATTTTTCTATGGAACTGTAACAATTGGAGAGATATATTGATCTGTATCAAAATTAACTTCCACTATTACACCCAAATTTTTCAAATTTTCTATCTCATCATTTATAATTTTTTCTTGGCCTTTATCAACAATTCTTGGATATGGTGTGAGACTTTGAGTGGGTATTGAATTATCAATAAATTCAAGGTGACAGTGTTCAACTGTATCCAAAATAAATTTATCAGAAGTAATTTTTTGCCAGTTTTCAACATAATTTTTCAATCTACCAGCTGTAAAAGTTTTGATATCAGAGACATCCACTAAACTTACCTGTTTAGCATAATTTACTTCCTCAGGAAACTTGGAACACCTCTCAAGTTTTTTGAAGCACCTTGATCATTTGAATACTGGCCTCTACCACCGAAACTACGACCACGACCACCTCTGTATCCACCACGACGAGAGCCTACACGGCCTCTACCAAAACCTCGTCCTCTACCAAAACTACCGCCTCGAGAAAAACCATTTCCTCTACCTCTTGCATAATTGTTATTATTTAAATTACGACTAAGTCTGTTCATATCTTGAATTTCTTTTGACTTTTGATGGACATTGTCACCATAAAGCATGTCAGTGAAAGGAATTGAGGGTGAACTCGAGTGATGATATTCAGGACTTAAATCAAATCTTTGATATTCCTTTCTCTTTACATTCGTCATCTTGTTATATTGTGACAGTAAAGCTAACAAATCAATCACCAAATCTATGCAAGACTGAATTTCTTGTTGACAATTGTCACCCAAGTCAGGTTTTAGCTTACACAACATGTTTAACAATTTTGTAATGTTACAAGATGCTTTTACAACAGTTTTTTGATGCTGTTGTATAACTGAGTCAAAGGACCTAGTTTGAGGAGAGAGTAAATCCCAAATAAGCTGATTAACTCTAGTTCTTGTAAGAGAAACACAATTCTCTGGTCTAGCCACTGATTTCATCAGTTCATTGTATTTTTCATCAGAAATTCCCTCACGGAAAAATTCATTAAAAGTATCAGCTAATGTGTCATCTACACTTGTATCTACATTATCTTTAGACCTGTAAGCTTGTGCAGCAGCTTTAAAAACATTTTCACCCTCTTTGTCAACAGTTTTTTTTTTAGCTGGAGGTTCTGCAACCTCAGCATCTACAACATGATCATTATTGTCATGATTATTATTTTTATCATAAACTCCTTCAGGGTCTGCACCCTGGCTCTCATCGTAACCCTCAGGCTCAGCAAAATACAACTCGTCTACCATAGATTTGAGAGACACGAAATCAGTTTTTTGTGAACTCTGTTCTTGCTGTATATTTTTTAGAACTGAAAAAACATCAGCTTAAGTGGGCTCTTTGCTAGCTTCGCTATTATTTTGACTAAAACCTTTTTGTCGTGAAGTAACAGTTCCGGCCTCGCCAGAGCTGACAATCTTTGCCCCATTACAACTACTTGTATCGTCATTCTTGGAACGAGAATCATCACCGGATGCTTTTCTTTAAGGGTTTTTTCTTTTTGTCTCATTTGAAGCACTAGAACCTTTCTTCAAAGATTTTGCATCAGTTTAAGAGAGCATGGCGTCCGCCATTGTAACTAAAAAAATATCAACTGCCGTAAATTGGTCTAATTACCGTAAATTTACAACAGAGAAGAATAAATAAAATTAAAATAAACAATAAACCCCTCGAGTTTATTTACTTGAATAAACAATAAATAATAACTACCTCGTAGTTATAGTACTAAACTATTTCATTATAGAAGCTACAAATACAGACCACGTCTGCCTTCTATGAAATAAAGCTACGAACTGAAGCTACACATGCGCACGAACATCTCATCTGGTCCCGGAATAAAATTGTTATTATTATTATTATTATCATTATTATTATTATTATTATTATTATTATTATTATTATTATTTGTTTGGAGTTGAGATTGTGACTCGTACAGGTAAAGGCCATTCAATTTATTAATATGTGTAAAGAAGTATCGGCAGTTATATGTTATACACTATTTTTACTACAATTTCATGAAACAGTAACATGGGAGGATGCACAGAAAATCTGCAATGTTCCATCTATAGACGACATCATGTACTGGAAGGGAGATGATACTAAACTACCTAAAACATTCACCGCATGGACGTCGTCACGGAATCGTACATCAGATTGGACATATTTTTTTGGTAATTTGAAAATTATGTTAAATGTAATATATACTTTTTTGTGCTTTTTTTTTTAAATATTTGTTCGTTTTTGTTGTGGTTTAGATTGTGACACGGTGTTGACTGCTGTACCCCTATTTTACATTTTTACCTATTATGTCTGTTTGTTTTATTCACGCATCGTTGTCAATATAATGAAATTTGATGCGACTGTCATACAAGTGAGAGGTTTAGCGTTATAAAAGCAGGTTCAATCCACCATTTTCTACATAAGAAAATGCCTGTACCAAGTCAGGAATATGACAGTTGTTGTCCATTCGTTTGGTGTGTTTATGCTTTTGATTTTGCCATTTGATTAGGGACTTTCCGTTTTGGATTTTCCTCGGAGTTCAGTATTTTTGTGATTAAACTTTTTTTTTACATACTGTCATATCAGAAATCATAAATAGAATGTAAGAATATATTAAGGAACATTGTTACTGATAACAAATTGTAACAAAAGAGAATTATGTGAATAAGGATTAGTTTAAAATTAAGGAATGTATCTCCCTCATGCAAAGCTCTGATTCCTTGCCCGGCTTTGGCTATACTTTTTTGTTCTTTTTGGTTTATTTTTAATAATTGTTGGATTTTCAAATATTTTGGCCCCGAGCATCACTGAAGAAACATTGATTGTCGAAATGCGCATCTGGTGCAGAAAATTGTTTATGTTATTGTAAGCATGTATTATTTCAATTAATGATAAAAGGCCAAACATAAGAAATTTATATTGAAAAAATATACTGTGAGTCGAAACAAAATTGCGATGTTTTTATTTTTGAGCAAAATCTGACTGAATTGGTCTGGCAACAAAAAAGAATTTGTATGTTTAGTACTGATAGAATATTTGTATGCAACATTTACCGAAATTGAACTTTTGTCTATATTTTCGATTATCGTATATCAAAATCCATGCAAAAATGTCTGCATTTAGTTAATGAAACAACACATGCAAATAATGCAATCCGATTAAAACTTAGAGGTCTAATTGATACAAATTATGTTTTCCTGCTATTTAGCAATAAGTTTATTTCATGTCAAATCATATTAGGAAAATATATCAATATTGCATGCAACGCTATCTGAGTGTATGAAATTAAAGCATCTGTTCCATGTAACAATATTGTGCAAATTAAAATTGAAATTTTCAACATGATTCGCTTGAATATAAATCTAAAAACCAATCCCAGGCAAGATTTAATCTTTCAAGTCAAAATAATGTTAACAAATCATTTTTGTCAAAACTGCAAAAAGTACAGGAATTACTTGACATAATGTATAGATATATGGCTATTGATGAAGACTTTTTGTAAAGACAACTGACTTTTTGTTGAAGAATGTATGTTTCCTTGTAGATGTTTTTTTAGTCATTTTGGGTTACTGTACCATAGACGTTTACTCGACATCTAATTTAATTGATAGCCGTACTTAGAGGAAAATTAGCGACATCCGGTCTTCTTTAATCTATAAAATATGTAAATCGTCTCATGTTGCCAGTAAATTCAAAGATCTGCTATCAACATGAAACTAGCTAAAGGACATAAAAAGAAATGATAAAAAAGGACAAGGTTTTCGACTCGAGACGGTCATATGGATTTGTAGCTGGGTTAGCGTCTTTAGTGTGTTTGTTTGAATTATTCAATTCAGTTAATATGTTGTATATCTATGATAAATGTTTCGACAATTTTGGCTGTTTTATACTAATTATTGTAATGTTAACAATGTATGTCTGTTTCCTTTCCTCGCACAATTTTATCAACATGACGTTACTATATACAATTGTCATACACGTGGGATGTTTAACTAGTAATAAAACCAAGTTTAACCCACCATTTTCTTCTAAAAATGAATGTAAAAAGGCAGGAATACGACAGTCGTTTTCTAGTCGTCCCGTTGGTTGATATAGTCGAGGGTTTGGTTTAATCAGTTTGTATGGACTTCCCCTTTTTTTTAAAATACATAAGAGTTTCATTATTTTGATATTACATTGTTATAAATTAATTAAAAACTACTTTTGATGTTTCTTTTATTGATACGAAAATGTGGCTGAAAATAGAAATGTTTAAAAAGTCACTTCTGGTGTCAGAAAACAGCTTATCTTGCACTGATTTCCAAAATAAATAGTTAATAGTACTTTTTGTGAAATAAGTAGCTTATTCCGGTCACAAATGATTTACAAAGACTGCAAGTATGTATGGTTCCGATATACTTTTGTGTGAACTAACGGAGATAATGTGCTACTTCCGGTTAAGACAATGTCACTTCTAGTTTTTCAAGACAACTTCCTTTTTTCACAGATTAAAAACATGAATTTTACGTATTCTCAAGGAAATTCCGGTTTACTTCAGGTCATATCCAGTCTATCTTTTTCAATGAATCATATATCTCCAAACCCTTTGCAAATGCTCCATTAGCTCTATCATTTACCAGTTTGAGATAACAACCAATCTACCTTGTAAACATTTCAGTGGCAGTATATAATGTTATAGAATCGCTTCAGATGAAATGTATTATGTTAACAACACAAAACATTTTGGAATCATCCTTTTGTTTCTATCTTTTATATATATGTATTTGCAGTGGAGATGCGCACAAAATGAAATGTCAAAAAATTAAAACATGACCTTGAACTGCGACTCCAATTGTAATTATGGCCCAATGATCTTTAATCAAACGACCTTAGGTATTTAGATCTTACGGTTTATGAATTGTATGCTAATAAAAAGGTTGATAACTTCTAAAGGATGTTACCGGATTGCTTTGGAAAAAATGATCGCAATTTCCAGAGGATGTAAATTTCACTTCAGAAACATTTTTGTCAATATCTGATTTTAGCGGAGATGCACACAAGAAAAGCAGTGTTAGGGGGATTACTCTTTTAGAGAAAAAGATTTAGTTAAAATGAGTGAATTTCAAAGCACAATAACTGGTTAATGTCACGTGTAGATGCCATATATATAACGAACATCTTTCGAAACTACAAAACAGCACTAGAAAAAAAAAACACAATTTATAAAGGCATTTTCACTGAAAGGTGGAAAGAACTTATAGTTCAAAGAAGATGATATATTTAAGATAACAAAGGGTTTCAGGTAAAACTGTTTTGGAAAACAATTCACAATTGTTATTCTTCTGGTGATCCTGGGTTTGTAAAAATAAATTATCAATCATCGTTTTAATTCTTATAGCATTAAATTGAAATAAACCACATTTCTATATTAAGTTAAAATCTTTACTATCGTTGTTGAGCGCAAACATTGTGTTCCTTGTTTAAATTATTGATTTCCTTGGTTCGGTTAATCATTTTGAGCCTCTTGCTTCTTATGAATATTTAGTCATTATTGCACTTAAGCAAGCAAATCCATTCATAACGCTAACGTATTTATGTGTATTTATTTTATTGTTTCAGGTTGCCTAGACGTATCAATCATGATCGTTAAAAGGGATGCAATAAAGAAAACATTAAACGAATATTTTCCTGAAAGTATATATGCCATCAAATCCGACAGCGTATTCAAATGTGCATATTTTTGTACAACACGGAGCGATTTCTTTTCATTTTTTGTAAGTATACTGTTTTAATATCAAATTCAAAAACTTAGTAAAGAATACAAAATGTGTATGTTATCATCTATTAAAACACAAATTGTTGTGTTAATACGACTATTATAATTTTGGTTATGTATCCTTTATTTGTATCATGAGAATAATATCTATTTGTCAATTTGCAAAATAAGTTATTCACACCATCGCCTTTTACATTCCATTGTTTAACCAACATCAGCTGTTAATGCATACGTCAAAAATATTAAACTTTCCCTATTATTAAATAATTGATTGGTTGTTGGTTGCTTAACATCCAGTAGCAAATATTTCATGCATATTCAGGACGAAAACCAATTAACAGTAAATACAATAGGTAGGTTTTATAATAGAGGCGTCTGGGATTAAGGTCGGAGAAATTAAGACTGCCACGGAAAATGCGAGTATATTGGATAGGGACAGAAATTTAGCCTTGCAACAGGTCACATAAGGACCCCTCAAAGAGTTGTTGCAAGGGTTCTTAACGTGCAAAGAGCGTGGCACTCTCTTTACACGAGGTATCGGATTTAACGTCCCCATTCTGACCGGACGTGGCTGCAAATTTGTACATCCCGCACAGCCAAACGGACGTCCCACTTTGGCGAGGGTTTTACTGTCGGTTGGAGGAAAACCAATTGTGACAATACTTCTATCCCCAAGCCACCCTTGGGGGTTCCCTATTATTAAAACGTCATTCAATACATTGAAGACATTTCTTGCATGAGCGGTATCATTATTCGACTGAAGTTTGGTAGTAAGTTAAATAGCACAAATATCTTTTTATAAGTTAAATTGACCTAAGTCTTAAGAAAAGAATGTATTGCCGTTAAATGCACAAGTTTGACAAATTTTGAGTGTTTATCAAAAGAGAGGCGAAAAATACCAAAAGGACATTCAAACTCATAAGTCGAGAATAAACTGACAACGCCATGGCTAAAAAGAAATAAAAGAACAGAGTTCCAATGTCCCCCGTGTTGCACATATTTTATATTTCCAAGGGGCATAACTCTTTTAAAAAAAGTCAATCGTCCACAATTATAGAACTTGTCCGAGATATTGCTGATATTAACCTATAGTATAAGTTTTATAAAAATCTGGCAAGAATTGGTATGCTCTAGAGCGCTAACGAGGCCATTTTCCATAAATTTAATATTTCCAAGGGACATAACTCTTTTAAAAAAGTCGATCGTCCTTTATTATAAAACTTGTCCGAGATATTAATCTATAGTATAAGTTTTATAAAAATCTGGTAAGAATTGGTTCCCGTGAGAGCGCTAATGAGGCCATTTTCCATAAATTTAATATTTCCAAGGGGCATAACTATTAAAAAAAAGTCGATCGTCCACCATTATAGAACTTGTCCGAAATATTGCTGATATTAACTTATAGTATAAGTTTTATAAAAATCTGGCAAGATTTGTACCCGTGAGAGCGCTAACGAGACCATTTTCCATAAATATAATGTTTCCAAGGGTCATATTTCTTTTAAAAGAGAGACGAAAGATACCAGAGGGACAGTCAAACTCATAGATCGAAAATAAACTGACAACGCCATGGCTAAAAAATAAAAAGACAAACAGACAAATAATAAAACACAAGACACAACATAGAAAACTTAAGACTAAGCAACACGAACCCCACCAAAAACTACGGGTGATCTCAGGTGCTCCGGAAGGGTAAGCAGATCCTGCTCCACATGTGGCACCCGTCGTGTTGCTCATGTTATTACAAATCCGGTAAATAGTCTAATCCGGTAGGTCACATTCGTGGTGAAAAAGGAAGTGGATTGTAATTACGACATAAGGAAAATATCTGATATCATTTGTGAAACGGTTATTCCATAACGATCAACCAACTCGTGATGGCGTCCGTAAAATTGATTTCAACTTCACCATTTGGAACTCTTGGTTCAATAGCTTCCTTGTGAGCAGCAACCCTCTATCAAGGAAATCATGATTGAAAATACAAGCCCGGGAATATCGTATCAATTGGGAGATATATACTCCGTATGCAGGCGCTGCTGGAATGTTGAAAAAGAGGGACGAAAGATACCAGAGGGACATTCAAACTCATAGATCGAAAACAAACTGACAACGCCATGGCCAAAAATAAACAGACAAACAGACAAATAATAGTACAGATGACACAACATAGAAAACTAAAGTCTAAGCAACACGAACCCCACCGAAAACTGCAACCTAGAAATAGAAAGTTCACAATTGGGAAGCTGAAGTCTATCGGCCACCATTATAGAAATTGTCCGAGATATTGCTGATATTAACATAGATTTAAAGTTTTATAAAAATCTGTCAAGAATTGTACCTGTGAGAACGTTAAAAAGACTGGACAGACGGACGGACGGACGCCTGGTATTTCCATGTCGCCCACAACGCGATACGCTGGGGACAAAAAGAGAAACAGACAAACAACAGTACACAAAACACAACATACAAAACTGAAGACTGAGCAACACGAACCCCACCAAAAACACGTGGTGATCTCAGGTGCTCCGGAAGGGTAAACAGATCCTGCTCCATATGTGGCAACCGTCGTGTTGCTAATGTTAGTACAAATCCGGAAATGCGTCTAATCCGGCGGAAAGTGGTCGGAATTGTAGTTACGACATTAGGAACATATCCGCTATCATCTGTGAAACTGATATACCTAAGCGGCGAACCAACTCTTGGCGTCCGTAAAATTAACGAAGGGATGATTTCAACTTCACCACTTGAAACTCTTGGTTGAATAGCTGCCTTGTGAGAAGCAACAGTCTATAAAAGAAATGATGATTAGAAATGCAAGCCCTGGATTATCGTATCAACTGGGAGATATATACTCCGTATGCAGGCGCTGCTGGAATGTTGCTACATAGAAATGGAAAGTTCACAATTGTGAAGCTGAAACCATCTCTTTTGTCTCAAAGTTTTGTTTTCAACCGACCCGCAATGTCAATTTCTAGATGTACTTCAAAATATGATGCAGACTTAACTGAATCTATTGTATTCTTTATCATGAGTTCGATGGGATAGATGCGTTCAACATAGTCACCAAATTTTGAATTATTTAGTGACAGAACATCATCTTTATAGCGGAAAATTAAATTAAAGGATACTGCTATCTTCTATAGTTTCTTCTTAAGAAGTTCCTGTATGAAGTCAGCCTCATATGAATAAAGGAACAAGTCGGCAAGAAGAGGGGCACAGTTGGTTCCCATATAAATGCCGATTGTTAATTGAACAACACGCCCTCCAAACGAAACAAATATGTTGTAAGATTCTTGTATCTACGTTGACCATTCTTTTTTTTATGAAACTAAGCAGGACCAACTCTTTCAATTTGTCTTTCAGTTTGGAATGGGGAATACTTATGTAAAGTGTAGAAAAGTCAAATGTTTAATACTATTTCAGGAATATATTCCACATATATTGAAAGAGACGTTCATAGAAAGACTTAAAAACTCTGTTTAATTATTTTTGTTTCGTTGTATACATTTTATGCAAAAATGTTAAGTATGCAATAGAAGCTACCTGAGGCTTTACATATTTTAGGAAAAGCTATTGACTTTTATAAATTTTTTTTCAGTGGGTATTTGACTGTTTTATTTATTTATTTATTTTTTGTAACCTGTTAATCAAATACTTGTATTCTGCCTTGTTAATTTAGAAAAACGTATGCAAGTGTATTCATATGTACGAATTTAAATCAGAGTTGGAGGAGATGCCTGTTTGTATTGTTTGGACACCAACTGTAAACAATGTTGATCAATCGTATTCGATATCGCGTTCTACGCTTCCAATTTTCAGATTTAAAAAAGGTATGCAATATTTTTTTTATTAAAAAATACTCGATTAAGAATTCATAATCCAAAGTTGACACTCATCGACATAAACACTACGTTACTAGTTCAAAATTTTTAAAATATTACATCGAATAGTGTGAAAAATACCACTTATCATCTATTGATTGCCCATCAACGCCTTACTTATGTCCTGTCTAAATTAAGTTAATCCTGTTAAATTCTAGACGTGTTCTTGAAATTAGATTTGTATGTTCAATTGACTGATATTTCGTCAATTTGTATTCCTCTTATGTTCTGCAAAATTATTCATTCAAATCAACATAACATTAGCAGCATGAAATATTCATTTAATGCATTTCAGAAGCAATCGTTATTAGAAAACATATATTCTCTCAATCGATTTATGACTTTTGAACACCGGTATACTACTGTTGCCTTTGTGTGCTTCTTCTTTTATATTTGCTTGCGTGGTGATAAAAAATATGTAAGTAATGTCTTAAAAGTGTGAAACGAACTGTGTTTTAAAAAAACTTCATCAAATACATTTAATATCAATTGTTTGAATTAAATGTCTTGGAGCACATAAAACAATAAATAGCCTTAACAGAATACCAAAACCCGACTAAAGTCATTTTTACCTACGAGAATAACAATCTTTGCACAATACACCTTTACCTACTACATTATATAGCACTTACTACTGGAGAAACAGTACACTTGGCGACAGGTATTGCATGACGCAGTAATAAACAGGTAAACTGCCAGTTCCGTGCGCACAGCATATTTTTCTACAAAAAATCTTCACTTAGTAAACTCGTGAAACTCGGGACCAATAGTTCGAAAAGTCAAATATTTTAAACTATCGATGGCACAAATTTGTGTACTGGTTGATATTTTAGTCTGTGAAACATGATTTATATATTTGCTGTAATTGATTTTTAAATAGCTTTCACTATCTGCAAGTACTCTTGGATAGATACTTTATGTCTTTAGTCTATTTGTAAGTCGTTTTGGTGCATTTCGTCGATATGATGGGTCAATCCTTTTTCAACGTCACTGATTTTTACAGTTTGTTAGTGCTATTTCAACTGATTTTTATGGTTTGTTCTTATGTTGTGCTGTTACATTACTATCCAAGGTAAGGGTAATGATTGAACATTCGCAAACATACATATGTTGGGGCCTCGGTGGCCGAGTGGTCTAAGTAGTTACTACTGTAATCACTAGCCAGTCAACACTGAGGTTGTGAGTTCGAACCCCGCTCGTGCGGGTGCACTCGACTCCAATCTTAATTGACTAGGATTGTCAGTTTTCCTATCGAAGGTCGGTGGTTTTCTCCGGGCGCTCCGGCTTCCTCCACCAATAAAAACTGGCCGCCACGAAATAGCCCAAAAGCGGTGCTTAAAAGTGGCGTTAAAACACCAAAAATCAAAATCAAATCATACATATGTTTAACTCCATCACATTTTGTATTTGTATGTTCAAAGTCAGAAGCCTGTAATTCAGTGTTTGACGTCGGTTGCTGTATATCATATTTGTTTTTCGTTTCTTACGTTTGTTTATAAAACACACCGTTGGTTTTCTCGATTAAATTGTTTACAATTTTGTCATGCCGTGGTCTTTTATAGCTTATTAAATGAACAGACACAATATATCAATTTAATCATTACAAAACTCATCTGCCAATATATGAATTCACTTAAAGAGTCATTTGACACAGAGTTTGTGCTGGGGACAACTTTTAATTTACTTACTTTTTCCTTTGCAATCGATATTTACTTTCACACATTCAATTATTTTACTTGTTGTTTTGTTGGTATCGTCTACTATCATCTGATTAACGTACATTTACCCATTCAGAATATAAAGGTCATTACGAGATATATAAATAGTTATATTACCTAGAATAATCTATGAAGATTGATGGGTCAATCAACGCTAAAATAATCCGTGTCTTTAACAACCAATATCTTGAAATATCCATTTCGCATTACAGTACTTGTATATATTTTACCGTTTTTAAACGTTTTGATAAAGACAATTTTAATAATGAGTAATTAAGGTATTTCCTTTTACTATAAGGAAAGACCTTACTGTATTTCTTCTAGTTATTATTATTAGGTCTTTCCACTTTTCTGTGGAAAGACCTATTGATTTTGTTCTGATTATTAGGTCTTTCCACTTTTCTGTGGAAAGACCAATTGATTTTGTCCTGATTATTAGGTCTTTCCACTTTTCTGTGGAAAGACCTATTGCTTTTGTTCTGATTTATTTTTTTTTTACTTCTTCCGCCACTTTTATTTCATGCGGTTTCGCAAGATGTCGCTTTGATGTTTGGTATACGATATCGCACAGTATATGCGCCTTTGAAATTAACCCTGCTTAACCGAATACTTTTCTCTGTAGGAGTTATCTCCCCGAACACTGTTTTCCTTTGTTATTGCATCTTTTCCGTAACCGTAAAAAAAAGCGACACATTTATTTTACCAAAGTGACATTTTTAAACATGAAATTGACAATTATCGCCCTTATCTTAGGCAATAATATATAGAAACATTTATCTATTGAATCAGTATGAAGATACCCATGCTTGGACGCAAATAGTAACTTTGAGTAAACCAGAAGTAGCTTCCCATCAATTATTTAGAAAATTGATGTGGAAAGACCTTCAATTGATCTCTGAACAATTGGTTTTTAACTTATTTTTTTTTCTTCTTCCGCCACTTTTATTTCTTGCGTGTAATTTTTGTTTCGCAAGATGTCTCTTAGATGTTTGGTATATGATATTGCACAATTTATGCACCTTTGAAATTGACCCTGTTTAACCGAATACTTTTCTTTGTAGTAGTTATCTCTGCAAACACTGTTTTTCTTGTTATTGTATCTCCTCCGTTACCAAAAAAGATAACCACAAAATTCTTTTTCAAATTTTTTCGTTACATCATCAGAAAGTTTTGGCTGATTTAGATCGCAGCGATCCAGTGAAATCTCATAGGAGTTATCTACCTTTTCCAACTAAATTTGTCGTCATGTTTTTGTAACTCATAAACCGTAAGCAGTATAAACCTAGATTCTTATTATTTGAGGTCCTTTGGTCCTAACTAAGAAAATGAGGTCAAGGTCAAAGGTCAAGGTCGTGTTCTCAATGTTATCTTTGGCTTGTTATTGCATTTTCTCGGATATTTTTAATGTAATATATAAAAGAACCTGTGCAAAATGTTTGTTTTTTGTGATGAAGATATGATACATTTGGTCTGAAACAATCCAATGACATCTTAAAGGAGTTATTGCCCGTGAAATGTTTAATTTCCAGGTAAATTGATTATATCTCCGGATTGGTACATGATAAAGCCATAAGGTCTTTTGCAAAATGTTTGGGACATATGACCTTGACAAATATCAACCGGAAGTGACCTTGAGTGAACCGGAAGTAGTTATTCTTGCACTTTTTTTATGGAAAAGTACATAAAAACCATATATTTTTTAAATGGGCATACATAAACCTATCATTATAGACCGAAAGTTAATTTCGATAAACCGGAAGTAGCTAATTATCTCCCTTCAAACAGGCAAAAGCATATAGAAACCCGATATTTTTGGAACTAGTGTAAAAGCAGCTATCGTTTGAGACCGATAGTGAATTTCTAAACCGGAGTTGACAATTATCTCCCTTATTTTAGGCAAAAATATATAGAAAGCATATGTTTTTGGATTTAGTGTGAAAGAAACTATCAAATGAGACCTAAAGTGATATTCAATTATCCGGAAGTAGCAAATTAACTCTCTTATTGAAACTAAAAGTATATATAAACCATTTATTTTTCGAATCAGTATGAAGAAACCTATGATTGGACGATGATAATTACTTCTTTTGAAAACCGGAAGTAGTTGCTTATCAATTATTCAACTATTTAGAAAATTGATGTGGAAAGACCTTCAATTGTTCTCTGAACAATTGCTTTTTAATTATTTTTTTTTTCTTCTTCCGCCACTTTTTTTTTTGCGTGTAATTTTTGTTTCACAAGATGTCGTTTAGATAATTGATATATGATATCGCACAGTTTATGCGCCTTTGAAATTGACCCTGTTTAACCGAATACTTTTCTTTGTAGGAGTTATCTCCCCAAACACTGTTTTTCTTGTTATCCTATCTCCTCCGTAACCAAAAAGGATAACGACAAAATTATTTTTCATATTTGTTTTCGTTACATCTTTAATTTTTTTTTTATCTGATTTGGATCGAAGCAATCCGGTGAAATCTTATCGGAGTTATCTACCTTTACCATATAAATTTGTCGTTATGTTTTTGTTACTCATAAACCGTAAGCCGTATAAACCTAGATTTTTTTATTTGAGGTCCTTGGGTCCTAACTTAGAAAATGCGGTCAAGTTCAAAGGGCAAGGCCATGTTCTCAATTTTGTCTTTTGCTTTTTTTGTATTATCTAAGATACTTTTAAAGTGATATATAAAAGAACCAGTGTAAACTGTTTGCTTTATTGTGATGAAAATATGATACATTTGGCCTAACACAATCCAATGACATCTTATAGGAGTTATTGCCTCTCAAATGTTTTATTTTAATGTAAATTGATTATTTCTTCAGATTGGTACATGATAAAGCCATTAGATTTTTTTTGCAAAATGTTAGGTTACATGACCTTGAAAAATATCAACCGGAAGTGACCTTGAGTGAACTGGAAGTAGTAATGTTTGCAGTTATTTTATGGAAAAGTACATAGAAACCATATATTTTTTAGATGGGCATACATAAACCTATCAGTTGAGACCGAAAGTGACATTATATAAACCGTTAGTCATAGATATAGCACTAATTTCCTCGTATCAAGGTACAACACCTGTGTGTTGGTGCAAGAAGTGTATGACATTATATTTTATAAAAATATGGAAGGAAAGACCTTGATATTGTTCGTGAACAATTGACCTTTAATTATTGATGTTTTTATTATTAGTATTATTATTATTATTACATGTTTTACTATGTCATATA